AGGCTGGGTTTCTGAACCCACCACCTCCGGCATATGGGGCCGGTGCCCTACTCCTTTGAGCCACAGGCACCGCCCAATCTCATGTCAGTTTTTCATAAATAAATCTAAGTATTTAGCCAATTTTCATACAGTTGTAGAGTTAGAAATGTGGGAATCTATACAAAGATACAAAATACTGGTAAATTATTATATACATTCATTTTATAAAATTTAATTCTGTTTTTCTTTCTAAGTAATAGGCATTGAGACAATAAATATATTTTTAGTTCAGATGGTGGTTCTGAAGCTTACATCTTCCTTACAAAATCTAAAGCAGTTCCTATGAGCTCCTAATTTTGCTACAATACACGTGTTTAATAATTTTAAATTTCATTAGTTATTGGAAGAAAAATGCTGTTAATGGTGCACTAAAAACATGAGTTTCTTTATGAGTTTTAATAATGTCCGTAATATTCAAGTGATCAAAAATATAGTTACAATTTTGTGAATTTTTAAAAATATTGGGTGCCCTAATAGAGTGATAAAAATCTATAATTTTTTTTTATAAAAGCATCATTTGGGTGACTAATTCTGCGATATATTTTGTTGAAATTCGTGCATTTCTCTACTATGAGAGTTCTATATCCAGTATTGACTGTTTAATAAAATCGAGTTCAGCAAAACTCATCATCAAATACAAGCTGTTCATTGGGGTTGAACAGCACCCTGGGGTCACGCACATGGTCTTTAAATGTTCCTTCCCCTCCCGTGCTTGTCTGTGCTACCCTCTTTTTCTAACTGGAACTCTATAAAACAATGTTTGTAAACCCATGTGTGCCCTTTTCCAGCCATTAATTGTCTTCCTATGACGTGTTAAAGAAGATAAAGTTAATTTTTTGAAATAATTGTTAAACAAAATGCAAAGATTAAAAATATGCCTATGTCCTAGGAATCTCAGAACATGTGACCAACTCTATGAAGCAGGTTCTATCAGCCTCGGAGCTACTGACCTTTGGGGCTGGAGAGTTCTCTACTGTGGGGGGGCTGTCCTACCCCCACCGGGGGACTTGGCAGTGTCCCTCCTTGCCACTCTCCAGGTGCCTGGGGTCCCCTCCCCTGAGCTGAAACCACCAAGCATGTCTCCAGATATTGCCAACTGCTCCTTGGGGCATCCAAGTAACTGCCAGAGAGTGATTCATAGTGAATAGATAAGAACTATCACTTTATATGGAACCCCATAATTATAGATCACGCCCCAAGAACTATGTGATAGCTAAGACGTTATCACATTGGACTTCAAAAACCTAAATTCTGTCTTTTCTGTGCCCACTAAAAAACCCTGACTAAACGACTGAATTTTGACTTGTGTCTGTATTATCCAAGTACAAATACTAATTTTGCCCTGTGTATCCACGAAAGCCATTTGTGATGTTGACTTGTTTATTTAATGCCCTCCGTCCACCCCGGGTTCCTCAGCTTCACTCAGTTCCATGACTGCAAATAACTCTAAATCATGTTACAGCCAGAACGCGTGGCTAAGTATCTGTTGCATGTACTATAAAGTTCATTATAGAATATACATCACTCCATAAAGGTGTTGATTCTGCTCTGCGGTTCTGCATGGCCAGATGCGCTGTCCGGCACAGAATGGATTCTCATGACTGTCTTACCTCTACGAGTATCTTAGCAAGTTATGCAATTTACAGAGTGATTAGCAGAAGTATCTATAAAGTTACTGGGTTTTTCTTTTCCTTAATTATCTTGTAATGTGCAGATAACAGACCTGTTACCTTCTCATGCAAATGATCTACAGAGTTCATGTCCCTTATGGCGGCCATTTAAACTCAATATTTATTTATGGATGTAATAAAAAAAAAAAGTTGATTTTTGTGTAATGTCTGTCATGTTATTTAGAGAGAAGTAATCTTGTAAAAATGTTTTATAAAACACAAAAAAGTATTGTAAATAGTCTGATATTCTGTGACTCATTATTTTCACGGTAGAGTTTGTACATACTGGTTCAGTAATAAACTAGCCTTAAACCTGCCCCACGATGAGACTCCTTTATTTCTTAGAGAAACACTTTTCTTTCATTTAAGAAGAAAAATTAGTAGTTTCTGCTGCCAGGGAGGTTCACAAAGCTTAACTTCCCGCGTCAGTATGAATGGAATTTGAGGTCTGCTGAATGTTAAGGACACACCTCCTCGCCCTGGCCCTGCCCTCGGGAAGGGCTGTAGGTTTGACAATCAACACGTCTCTCACCACATTAACAAACTGTAACTCCTGAAGGTTTGGGCGGCATTTTTCAGCAATGATTTCAACTTTAAATTGCCTTTAAACCGTCAAGATTTCCCCACAAAATTCTAGATATACTGATGCTGATAAGTACTCCTCCATATACCTGGGTTTCAATATTCCCCCGTCCAAGGACTTTAAATCCCCACTATCTAGGAAGAGCTTTGAGAGGCCTGTATATCCCTACTTGACTGATACCATAGCTGCTGATGAATTAAAAGAGCACTTACAAAACAAAAAGCCTAAGAAATAACGTGATGTTAGGTAGGGGCAACTTGGATCATTTTTATGCATAAAATCATTGATTTAAGTCAGTGGTTCTCAACCTTCCTAATGCCACAATGTATTTTCATTATTAAAAGGGGGTTGTGACCCCCAGGTTGAGAACTGCTGATTTA